GATGAGTCTGAAAGTAATGAAGTACATAATACAGAGAAGAAGGGCGGGGATTGAACAGCATTCAACATCAAGTATGTGTTTTTTATGGTCTGCTGTTGTTTATGCCTAGAAATGGAAGGATGAGTCTGAAAGTAATGAAGTACATAATACAGAGAAGAAGGGCGGGGATTGAACAGCATTCAACATCAAGTATGTGTTTTTTATGGTCTGCTGTTGTTTATGCCTAGAAATGGAAGGATGAGTCTGAAAGTAATGAAGTACATAATACAGAGAAGAAGGGCGGGGATTGAACAGCATTCAACATCAAGTATGTGTTTTTTATGGTCTGCTGTTGTTTATGCCTAGAAATGGAAGGATGAGTCTGAAAGTAATGAAGTACATAATACAGAGAAGAAGGGCGGGGATTGAACAGCATTCAACATCAAGTATGTGTTTTTTATGGTCTGCTGTTGTTTATGCCTAGAAATGGAAGGATGAGTCTGAAAGTAATGAAGTACATAATACAGAGAAGAAGGGCGGGGATTGAACAGCATTCAACATCAAGTATGTGTTTTTTATGGTCTGCTGTTGTTTATGCCTAGAAATGGAAGGATGAGTCTGAAAGTAATGAAGTACATAATACAGAGAAGAAGGGCGGGGATTGAACAGCATTCAACATCAAGTATGTGTTTTTTATGGTCTGCTGTTGTTTATGCCTAGAAATGGAAGGATGAGTCTGAAAGTAATGAAGTACATAATACAGAGAAGAAGGGCGGGGATTGAACAGCATTCAACATCAAGTATGTGTTTTTTATGGTCTGCTGTTGTTTATGCCTAGAAATGGAAGGATGAGTCTGAAAGTAATGAAGTACATAATACAGAGAAGAAGGGCGGGGATTGAACAGCATTCAACATCAAGTATGTGTTTTTTATGGTCTGCTGTTGTTTATGCCTAGAAATGGAAGGATGAGTCTGAAAGTAATGAAGTACATAATACAGAGAAGAAGGGCGGGGATTGAACAGCATTCAACATCAAGTATGTGTTTTTTATGGTCTGCTGTTGTTTATGCCTAGAAATGGAAGGATGAGTCTGAAAGTAATGAAGTACATAATACAGAGAAGAAGGGCGGGGATTGAACAGAAATGGAAGGATGAGTCTGAAAGTAATGAAGTACATAATACAGAGAAGAAGGGCGGGGATTGAACAGCATTCGAAGGATGAGTCTGAAAGTAATGAAGTACATAATACAGAGAAGAAGGGCGGGGATTGAACAGCATTCAACATCAAGTATGTGTTTTTTATGGTCTGCTGTTGTTTATGCCTAGAAATGGAAGGATGACTACAAATATCTTTATCTGGTTGTTTTAGAGGCATCTTGGAAACGGGTATGTTTAAGTTTCGATTCGAGTCAATGTAGTAATGCTACAATTGCATAAAAGTTCATAGAAAATGGATCTCTTCTAGGTGTTAAGATTTGTTTCAACCTACTGATATGGCTAAGTGCTCAATATTTGATTTTGGTATTCCAGAGGACCTAACAACGACTGCCGAAGATTAACGCAGGCTGGGGTCTAGTTTTATTAGATATCAGTTCTTATATTTTGATATTCCATGGTTCTCAAATGTTGGGTACACATTTAGCAGTTACTTTGTTCTGGCCATGATTTATGACATGAAGTAAATCTTTACTTGTAGCTTAAAACCAAAGGATATGACTAAATGTGCGGATGAATGTGTAACTGCTCAAGCTCACCGTAGCAGATGTTGTCTTCTTTGGGCTTTCCCCTCAAGATTTTAAAACGCGTTTGCTAGGGAGAGGTTTCCACACCCTTATAAAGAAGTTTCGTTTCCCTCTCCAATCAATGTGGGGTCTCACAATCTACTTCCCTTGGGGGCCCAACATCCTCGCTGGCACACCATTCGGTGCCTGGCCCTGATACCATTTGTAACCGCACAAGCCCACCACGAGCAGATATTATCCTCTTTGGGTTTTCCCTTCCGAGCTTCCCCTCAAGGTTTTAAAATGCGTCTATTAGAGAGAGGTTTCCACACCCTTATAAACAATATTTCGTTCCCCTCTCTAACTAGTGTGGGATATCACAATCCACCCCATTGGGAGCCCAACATCCTCGTTGGCGCACCTCCCCTGGTGCCTGGCTCTAATACCATTTGTAACAGCCCAACCCCAGTCCTCTTTGGGCTTTTCCTTCCGACCTCCCCCTCAAAGTTTTAAAACGTTTCTGTTAGGGAGAGGTTTCCACACCCTTTTAAAGAATGTTTTGTTCCCCTCTCCAACCAATGTAGGATCTCACACAATGAAATCGTCGAATTCTATCGCCTCACCAATGTAGTTTATCTTTGTTTGGTGATGAATGAGTTGGATATATTGATCTGATATTAGTTAGTCTCACTAATAATGTCACTTGTTATATCTTTACTGTGAGTTCTCTCTCTTTCTATCTGTCATATCTGAAAAGGTACAATGCCTTTTCTTAGGAACAGAACATTTGCAGCAGGGACTGATTATGAGTTTTATCCTTGTTTTTTTGCCTCCAATCAGGACCATTATCTCAGTCCAAGAACACCAAATTTGAGTCAGTTTTCAAAATTTCAAGAAAGACATTCAGCTATATCTGTTCTCTTGTCAAGGAAGCTATGATGGCTAAAACCTCAAATTTTACCGACTTAAACGGCAAGCCTTTGTCCCTAAATGACCAAGTCGCTGTTGCTCTTAGGCGACTTTGCTCCGGTGAATCATTATCAAATATCGGTGACTCGTTTGGAATGAATCAATCATCAGTTTCTCAAATAACATGGCGTTTTGTGGAGGCGATGGAAGAGAAAGGCATTCGCCATCTCTCGTGGCCTTCAACAGAAGAAGATATGGATCAGATAAAGTCCAAGTTCAAGAAAATCAGAGGTCTACCTAATTGTTGCGGTGTAATCGAAACGACGCACATTATGATGACTTTGCCAACGACAGAATCTGCCAATGGCGTCTGGCTTGATCGCGAGAAAAACTGCAGCATGATCTTGCAAGTGATTGTAGATCCAGAAATGAGATTCTGTGACATCATAACAGGTTGGCCAGGAAGCTTAAGCGATGCACTCGTGCTTGAAAGCTCAGGTTTTTTCAAACGTTCACAAGATGGCGAGCGGTTGAACGGAAAGAAGATGAAGCTCTCAGAAAGTGCAGAACTAGGAGAGTATATTATAGGAGACTCTGGTTTTCCACTCTTGCCATGGCTACTAACTCCTTACCAAGGGAAAGGCCTTGCAGATTACCAGACCGAGTTCAATAAGCGCCATTTCGGTACCCGGCTGGTGGCTCGAAGGGCATTGACAAGGTTGAAAGAGATGTGGAAGATCATTAAAGGGATAATGTGGAAGCCTGATAAACATAAGCTACCAAGGATCATTCTTGTTTGCTGCTTACTTCACAATATAATGATCGATGTGGAGGACGAGATGCAAGACGAAATGCCATTGTCTCATCATCACGATCCGAGTTACCGACAACAAAGTTGCAAATTCGTCGACAATACTGCTTCGATCACGAGGGAGAAACTTTCCATGTACTTATCTGAAAAGTTAACACCCTAAGAGAACCTCGTCGTGCACGAAAACATTCTTTTTTTTCTTTTCTTTTTGATAGATTGATCTGTGCTGCTGTTTATTCAAATTGCCCAAAGTGTTGTTCACTCATTTAGATGCTATTGATGGTTCATTATAGATATCTCTGGTGATTATGGTCCTGCTATATCTAAACAGATAGATACCCAGTTTCCTTTTCTACAAACATTATGCTGAACTGTTTAGAACTTTGAGCTGAAGAAATTTCACCTTCCCAACTGTTCTTTTCCCCTCTGATAATATGTTTACAATTTCCACTTCTATCCTGCTTGTGTTTACAAGGTTCTGATCAGTTTGTTTTCTGTGTCTGCATTGTTCTATACGTGAACGTGTTACTCGAAATGTTAGCTTTTCAGGACGGTAGTAGCCACTTATCCTATGAGTTATGTTTAGATTGACATTTTCATGTTTTCAATGAGGTTTTCTGATAAGTTTTATGTGTATGCATGGATTGAAAATTTGGACCTCTTTTTAAAATGTATGTATAATCCAACCTCCGAATATGGGCTGGGAAGGCCAATGGCTCGATTGAACGTGGATGGATGGATGTTTGGGATGTCCCGAGATTATAACGAAACGTGGGCCCGTTCTCAATGGCATGACTGAGTGAGCTACGATGGGCGACGATGCCCTGTGACTTGGGATGGCGTCAAGACATGAGGGCTATGTTAATTGGGAACCAAGATGATGTTGGATGTGATGTGGCATTGAGAGACCTTAGCCTCGAGTATAAGCAAGGTTGAGCCGAATGACTTGATCTAGTGTAGAGGCAAGTAGGTTGGTTGTGTCGCAAATGATTGAATATGAATGTGCAGGCAGCGTGTGTGATCGAACAAACTTTGATTCCGCACAAGTGATGTTTGGTTTGGGAAGGCAAATCTTGCTTAAGGTCCGACAAAGCCATGAAACGGGGCGAAATACGAATATGAGGTTTGGGTTCTCCTCAAGGCTTGACGTGAGTGTGTCAATATCACAATGTCGCACGATTGAAAAAGTACGACCAGTAAAAATTATTGTATTGATAAGTATCTATCAAATTAAAAAAAGAAAAAGAAAAAAAAGAAAATATTAGTCAGAGATTTTCATTCTAAGGTTTTCAATATTGTCATAATTTCTTCATCTAAACATTGAAATAATTATGAAAAATTATGCGATTCAATTATGAGATAAATAATATTCCTCTCGTCAAGTAATAATAATAATAAATAAATATAGAAAAATCTTAAATTATAAATTTTAAGAAAAAAGAAATATCACTAATGTAAATAATAAGCATTTTAATTTAGGATAATATGTAAAATGTTTATTTATTAATTTAAATATATTAGTTGTTTCTTCATAATTATAATTATAATTTTTTTTTATTTTTTATTTTTTTGGCGCGAGGTGAGGCAGGGATTAGGGGAGGAAAATACTGAGGCTGCGAAGATACTTTTTGTGATGAATGGAAATGGAAGTGTTGCATTTGACGGAAGACGAGAAATTCATGTCCGCCGGACTCATCATTGCCAGTAAACCCCTTTTCTTTTTCCGCATTTTGCTTTGATAATACTAATTGCTTACTTGAATCATGCTTGAAATTTCGCGTTTAGGCTTCCTAATCGTTGGAATTTCGTGGCGATTCTTTTGTATTATAGTCAATCCCCTATGGTACGATTTGGTAATCGTCCTAAAATACCACCAATTTCCAATTACCTTTTGAAGTTCGCGCAAAACAGGAACTGGATTTTCTTTGTTTGAATATCACACGTGATTTCTTTCCTGAATTAAATCATCCACCTCTTTTCTCGTTTATCTCATGTATAAATCCCTAATTATGATGAGAAGATCGCTTCCTTCTAGGTGCGGTATCAAGAAATCAGCCGGAAAGTACACAGAAATAACCTTTGTTGTTAGTTCCATTTATACTAAGCAACAATTTCCGTAGTGGAGGGACAAATTTTGTTGCTATCAATCTGAACAGAAATAAAAACTACGCGTCGTATGAACATTTGACCATCGAACTACAGGGGAGAAGTTTGAATGCATGGTTTTGTGTTACAGCCATGTCCTGATAGTGTGGCGGCAAGTTGTTTGGTTGATGATTCATAATGGAGCTTTTCTTGTTTGACTTTGCAGTTCAAGGAAGGATGGCGTTCTTCGATTCCTACTGAACTTTCGTATTATATGCTGACTATTTGGGGTCCGTACATCACAGGTGAGGAAACTAAGCTGTTAGAATTAGTTTTGTTTCGTGGAAGCTACGGAGCTTTAGATATTCAAAGTGAAAACCAAGCTTAGAAATGGTTATGTTCTGCTTATGCGTATGCTTATGCTTATGCTTATGCCTTGTGCTATTATGGGAGCTTGGAAACTCTATATTTGGCCCCTAAGACTAAGAACTAAGAACTTCCGTTAGTCTAATAGTAAATTTAGAGTGGACCTCTTGCATTTATTTCTGATAGGTTTGTTTATTAAAAGCTACTTTTGGCCTTTGGGCCATCCAAAGTGTCACAGACAAAAACAAATCTGTTGTGGTTAGATATATGATTGAGTTTTCAATTTTGTTCATCATGTTTGTACCATTTTGTCAATTTCTGGACTTCTGAATCATTAAAGACAAAATTGAAAAATGGTGTGAAGGACTTAATTATGGGTGTGAAGTCTTGTGGTTTTCTAAACTAAGTAGCTTTTCTTTCAGTCATTTCGTAATTGTAGGCATGTCCTGGACCATGTTCATGTACTGGGAAGTAGTATATGGCTGTGGTCGTGAAATCTGTCTCTTTTGTAATGGGAACTTAACAACAAATTTACAACTACCATTGCCATATTGGTCTTATTGTTTGCCCAATTAGAAAATTCCCTGAAGGTGGCTAAATTGTTTAACGCCATGGACTTTTGGTTTCTGTTTGTGTGAACTAGTAGTTTAAAAATGCAGCAGCCCTTTTTGTTTGTTCTTTGTTTGTTCTTACTGTTTTCCAGGTGTGCTGCTTAACAACCCAGAATTTGCATTTCAGATGCAAAACCATCCAACATCTATTCTCCCATCAACATCAGCGGTGTTATGCTGAAGTCTCGAGATACCTGGTCAAATAGGTAATAATAATTCTGGTCTTTCTATTTGATGTCCAAACCTTTGAGACTTCCTGCTTGGATGAGATTATTTGTTATGAGAAATGGGGTTATGTAAATGTTTGCCTCCCTTTTAAGGACATGGGACATGGGAGTGTGAGGTCTTACATTCCCATTATTGGTTGGGGAGAGAACGAAACATTTCTTATAAGGGTGTGGAAATCTCTCTCTAATCGTGAGCCTGACTGCAATACGTAACGGGTTAAAGAGAAAAATATTTGCCAACGGTGGGCTTGGGCGGTTACAAATGGTATTAGAGTCAGACACCGGGTGATGTGCCAGCGAGGATGCTTGGCCCCAAAGGGAGTGGATTGTGAGATCCCATGTTGGTTGGAGAGGAGAACGAAATATTCCTTATAAGGATGTGGAAACCTCTCTTTATGATATGTAATGGGTCAAAGCAGACAACATCTGCTATTGTTGGACTTGACTTGTTACAGGGAGAGTTAAGTTACAATTTGGATTCCATTTTGTCATTTGAGGGAATCATCAAGATGTCATCAAGGCCTTGTAACAGTTGAGTTTGGCTAATGGGAAATAAAAGCTGCACTTGATAAAACTCTTAATCTAGTGGTAAATGACACTAAAAGTCATTACTTGCTTAAGTCAATGCATATCTCTCACCAAGCCACCAATAAATAAGATGAGAATAATATGAAATGGACTATTCCTAATCTTGCTTATGATCATGGAGTTGACTTTTTTAGAGCCTCACTTCTTTTTACCACTACGCCATGATACTCGTCAGGTAACACGACGAGTACTATGACGTAGAGGTAAAAAGATTTGAAATACGAGTATGGCTGCAAAAATATACGGTGGAAAGATTAATGAATATTATATTATTTTTTGCAAAAGTTAACCAGAAGCTAACCCAATGCACTCGATAATTAAAATTTTGACATTTACAAGTATAATAAGTCTCAAATTACGAAATTAAAACTCGAGAGGTCCATAAAGCTATCAATTTAAAGGATCTTGAGTTGAATCTTTTGCTTTTTCTATATAATTAGCAAATAATTGAATCAATTAATGCGTTTGGAAAAATTTAAATCAAAGATTTTAAGATATTAAAAAAAAATCCAGGATGATTTTCTGTTTTAATATGGAAAGATTTTCAAGTATAAAGTCAACACACGTGTGAGAGCCTACTTTTGGATATTAAAATTGGCAAGAAAGTCAACTAGAAATTAGTAATTTTTTTAAGTCTAATTTATAATTAATGGGTAATTGTTTTTTTTTTTTTAATATTTTAATGAGGTGACGTATATATTAACAATATTTTCTAAAATTATTATGTTATTAATATTTATTACATTAATTATTATAGAAATGGAGGCGGTGAATCTAGTCTTGAATGTAACACTTTCCATTATTTTCTTCGCGTATTTTATAATCTTCATAATATTATTAATTTTCCGCTTTCAATTTCAACGTTTTTCCACTTTACCCACCAAAAAATAATCTAAATCAATCCACAAAATTTAAAAATAATTAGTGTTCAGCCAATCCGGTCTCGACAAATGGCGTAACCCTATTGGCTATGACTAATAATGGAATTTCAAACAATTTCATTTTGAGAATGTCTCGAGTTAGGTTGTCGTGCATCCTAAAGTTGGACCATTTCCCTTTTGTGTCCTATGGGATTTTTGTTTTTCCAATTTATTTTTTCAATCAAAATTTCAAATTTAATTTATAAATAATAATATATACTAATTATTGTAAATATTTTTTAAAGATAAAATTAGGCATAATTGATTAGTGCAATTAAGCTGTATTAGTTTCTTTCATTTATTTTAAATATTAGGTATCAATTATGTTACTCTAATTAATCTTTCCTTGATAATCAAATTAAACTAATCTCAATTAAATAAAATAACTTTAAAATCAAACATAATTCGGTACATAAGACACTCAAAAGTCGTTCGTCTCTATTAAACTTTATTATTTTAGGTAAATATAAATATTTGATTTATTAATTTTATTTATGGGCTCTTTAAAAGTAAATACTACGTTATTTTGTTATTATTCGTAATTTTATGTGAATGAGATTTTTATTAGTTAATATAAAATTTTCTGCTATATTAATTTAATGGCTTTGTTTTTGTTGACATAACAATGGATAAGTTCACATAAAAAATAATAATAATAAATAAATAATAAAATTGTATAAGAAATTTGAATTTATTTGTTTTTTTTCCTGTATTTAAATTTTATATTTAATAGTAATTTTATCATCTACTTACAATTTTTATATAAAAAAAATATAGTCAAAATTTAGAAATTGAGGGAAAATGTAATTGAAATTTTTTTGTTTTTTTTTGAAAAAAATTGTAGACATAAATACTTTAACGAATTTAATTAATTTAATAAAAAAATCTAATATGGTTTAATCTTTTATTTTCCTAATTATTGATTTAAAAATAACAAATATATCTCTTACAAGGGTATGCTATGCTGTTGATTTAATATTTTATTATCAAAACAACTCTTATTATAATATGTTCTCAGTTCATTCATGTACCCATCTTTTATTAAGACGTCACAAAAAAAAAATAATTAAACTACGTAATTATTATAGGTTTATAATCTTCTATTTTGAAAAATAAATTATGTAATTGAATTAATAATTAATTAATTAAAATGGAAAAAAAAAAGGGCAAGTGGAAAAGGGTTTGTTTTTGTTGGCGTAGGGTAGGTGTATGGAGTCTCGTGCTACCATATACAATTTACCAATTAATTTGACAATTTATACATTCAACTACTCCTATATTCATATTCCTCCTCTTTTAAATAAAATATATACCCCAAAAAATAATTAATTAATTACTTTTTTCTCAAAAGACAAAAAAACATTGGAATATATATTTCACTAAATTATGTGTCACTACTTATTTGGGCTGATTTAATTATTAAAATATTTAATTTCATTTTTGAATATTGGCTAATTTAAAAAAAAATAATAAAAAATAGCTAAAGCTTTGCAAACATTTCTGTTTTTTTTTTTTTTTTTTTTTTAG